GGGGCAGACAGGCAGGCAGACAAACAAGAGGCAGAGACAGACAGAGCAAGAGGCACAGACAGACAGAGAGAGACAGAGACAGAGAGAGGTAGGCCAACATTTTACCTGGAAATATCTTCTGTCCCACTCCATGGACTTGTAGTCCTTGTTGAGGTTACTACAGCTCAGATGGAAAGAGCTGAGAGAGTTGTCTCCGCCGTTCTCTGAGTTCCTTCCCCTTCCAACCTGTGACACTTGCGTATCCGACACGGCGGTGGCCAGCAGCTTCTGAGCCCCTCCCCCGCCGCCATTGTTCAAGCTATTTTTAATACCGCGCCCCCGTCGGAAGTACACTTGACACGGAACTTCCAAATGCTGCGCTTGCGCAGTCGTTTTGTCGTCAGAGTTCCGACTGGACTGCTGTTGTGTCAGGCTGTTACGTCTTTTTTTGAGCCGTTTCGAGTAACGTTTTTTCTTTGGGGGTCTTTGGCTGTCGAGTTTTTTGCTTTGGTTTAGCGAGGACTTCCTATTTAACTTCGCCGACGCCGGAGTGGCTGCCGTTATCGGCTGCGTTGTGGAGGAAGATGATGAAGGGGGTAGATGACTTAGAGCGAAATCCTCTCCGAAGTGGGAGTCTAACATAGGTGAGGAGGGCGGCGAAGGGGAGGGGGACGGCGGGATTGTAAGAACGGATGAAGCCGTGACGTCAGAGAAGCCGTTGAGGTAGTCGGAGGCGCTGAGACTCTCCTCTGCCTGCGGGGAGGCGGGTCTGGAGCAGAAGAAATCTCCACCACCACCACCATCTCCACCTCCACCTCCACCGACATCGCTGTTGCTCAAATTGCTGTCGTTGCTGCACAACAGCTGCTGTCGCTGCTGGTGGTACTCGTTCCTCAGCTGCTGCAGCTCCTGCTGCTGGTGCTGATAGAGATGCTTCTTCTGCAGACGCTTCTGGAGAGACTTCTCCGAGCAGGAGCCCAGGCTGATGGGTGTGCACAGAGATCGGCAGGAGTGGGAGGTCTGCAGGAGGCTGAAGTAGTTGGGCTCGCTCTCGCTCTCCTCCGTGTCCGACGTCTGCGGGCAGTGGTAGGAGGAGGCGGAGGAGGGGGGTCGGGGGACGGCGTAACTCTGGCGGGAGGGAAGGGCGAGGTAGTTCATGCTGTTGTGCAGTCTAACACCTCTTCCTTCTCCCCCACCCAATCCTCCTCCTCCTCCTTTTCCACCACCACCAAAATCTTCGCCTCTCATGTTCCCGCCTCTTACATCTGAGCCACACCCGGATATCTCCACATCACTGCCCATGGTGTCGGTGACACTCCCCAGCGTACAGCGAGGAGACCTGGGCGACACACGTGGGGTCAGCAAACGTTTCTCGGCTTTCACTTTTGGACACGACGTGGATTTGGTTGACCTGTTTGAGATAGATAATCAAAACAAATGAATCCTCTTAATAATAATCATAATTAGGAAAATATTATCAAGATCATTATCATCGTTATTTTTATTGCTGTTGTTGTTTATATTTCTATTGTTATTATAATAATTATTATTATAATTATTATAATAAGTATAATTA